TTGGGGAAAAATCTGTTGTCTTTCTTAGTCAACTAATCTGGAGCCACGTGAGGGCAAGGACTAGGACATATCCATGTTTATAACTCTGGCCCTAACATACTCTAAGGCATAAAATAAGCCAAAGAAAAAATATTGTAAAACTGAAATGATGATAATTTATTATAAGTAATAAGAACCTAACTTGAACTTGCAATCTAAAGAGTTCACTCATGAGTTAACAGATACATGTAGATGTGTGAATAGATAAGTTTTCCAGAGGCAGTGGTAATATTTCTGTCTCAGTATGTTTGCAGCTCCAGTGTTACCTCTTTAATGGCGGAGTTCAAATTTCTTTTGAATGTTCCCCTGCATCTATTACAGTAATGCAGGAGATGCTCAAATAGAACTATTTTTCATTTTTAAGAGAATACACAATAATGTTAGTCTTTTTCATTACTCTTATTTTACCATAAAATATTTAAGTGTTGAAAGAGACTCCAATGTTCTCAAAATCATTTGAGGTTTTCCCCACTCATGAATACTCTTTCTATAGAGAAAACAACTTCAAGATGTGATATGAACTCTTATTCTAGAAATGATTAGAGAAAAATAAAATTCAGATTTTCCTTAAATCTGGTTTAAAAGGAGGAAGAGTTCTCTCAATTATTCTACTCAATTATACAAAGTCTCTCTGAAAATATAAAACTAAAACTATGGTAAACTTGATTATAAAAATCTATTTTTTGCTCAGTGATTAATTGCTTTAATTTTAGTGATTCCTTTCTGTCATCATGGTTTCTATGCACATTCTTAAGATCAATCTTGTAGCCTCTTGTAAATCTTGTGTATTAAGACAGATTAATTTACTAACAAGTCATATTTTGTATGACAAATTATAATCTATTCATCTAGTTCAGAATCAGCTTTTTCTGTATAGGTCTGATAAGTAATTATTTTAGCCTTTGCAGACCACATGGTTTCTGCCATAACTGCTTAGTTCTGCTGTTATCATGGAAAATCAGCCATGATATTACAGTAGCAAGTGAAGGAGAAAGAAAGAAAGAAAGAAATAAAGAAAGAAAGGAAGGAAGGAAGGAAGGAAGGAAGGAAGGAAGGAAGGAAGAGAGGAAGGAAAGAAGGAAAGGAAAAGAAGGAGGGAGGAAGAGAAAGGAAAGGACAGGAAGGAAAGAAAGAAGGGAGGAAAGGAGGGACTGTGGGCCAGATTTAGCCCATGGCTATAATTTGCCCACTAGTACTTTAGTGTAATATTCTTATTTTATTATGAAAACTTTCAAAGAAAAACAAAAAGAAAATCATATCAGTTAGTTTAAAATTGTTAATATATTGTATTATTGTTGAATTACCATAAAGAAAATTTCTGTAATCATAAGATTCTCCTGTATACAATTAAGCATGTATTTTTAAAAATGAAGACATAACTATATAACCTATTAAAATTGCTAGTAACTCCTTAGTAGTCCATATTTAAATTTCTTCAAATATTTCCAAAATTATTTCTATAATTGTTTTGTTCAAAACAGAAAACCAACTAAGGATCAGACGTTGCATTTGATTATTATATATTAAAAGAAAAGTTTCTTGTAATATCAAACAGCAATCTCCATCCCACAGATATTTTAATGGGATTCATTGAGGAATAGTCTAATGTTTTAACATTTTTTGATATGTTAATTGATGTTAGAGAAACAGGAAGGGAGAGAGAAAAGGGAGGAGAGAGAATATCGATGTGGGGGAGAAACATCTATCAGATGCCTCCCTTACGTGCCCTTACTGGTGATGGAATCACAACTATTTATTGTATGGGAAACTTCCAGCAAACTTAGTCATAGGGCTAGGGTGAGGAAAAGTCTGATTTTAAACAACGTGAACAAGATCTGGAATCAATAAATGCCCTAAAACATTAATATAGAGGCAAATACCAAAGTTTCTGTTTTCTTTAATGTATTTCTCTCAATTTCTTCTCTATTTTTAGGATTTATTATTTTGTTTCACTTATTTTTAAACAGTTTGTAGGACACATTATGATTAGACAAATATATGAATCCAGAAGTTCATGTACAACATAAAAGCATGTCCATGGACATTTATGAGTCCATACTATGGGTGCTATGTAAATAAAGGGGGATGCAATTAGCAGTTACTTTAATTAAACATAAAAGAATTCAAGTTCAGTAGAATCCATCATTTTTTGTGAAAGATGCTGATTATTTTGTCTTTCAAGAAGACATGGCAGTATCCCAGGCTGTGAGCAAAAGTAGAAATGCAGACACTTGAGGTGATATTCGAGAGTTTGCAGTGCCTTATGAAAGAGCGGAAACCCCTTTCTCAGGAAAAGCTTGATGCCTGTGAGAAATCTGTTGGTTTACCAAGGAAATTCCAAAGAGAAAAATCACTCCAGATTCATAAAATTTCATTGAAAAGAGGACTTTCGGTATGTATGTAGAGGTACACTTAATAAACAATGTTCAGAGTAGAAACAGGGCTCTATGAGACAATATTAAAGAAGCAAACTTGAGGAGCACAGGTATGCGACAGTGTAGTGTGAGCTTACAGGTGAGGTGGCTGGAAAATATGACCATGGAAATGAGAGGGGCTTGTGTTATCCATGTTTTAAAGTATCTTAACCTGTTAGCATTAGCGAATAAGATCAATAAAGAGTCAGGAAACAGGACTGGACCAACTGAGACTGTGGAAGCACACAAAGGAAAGGGAACCAAGAGGTGCTGATTGGAAACTGGAGCAAAGCTAGAGTGGCCTCAGTTGAGAAAAGGAGCTGAATGTGGAACAGATGGAGTTGGGGCAGAGAGTAAGTTAGAAGACAAAAGCACGGTGCAATATAGTAACTGCAGGCACAAGCGGTTGTCTAGATTTAAATTAACAACAACAAAATAAAGCTAAAAATTCAGTTCCTCAGTTATCGTAGCCACTTTTAAATGCTCAAGAGCCATATAGGGTTAGTGGCTAACCTTATATTGGATAGCACAGGTAAGAACATTTCCACATTTCAGAATGTCCTATGTGATAGCTCTGTACTGAGGACATTAAAATGGGTAGGAAAGGGAAAACAGCAGAGGAAGAGGTGAAGGAGGAGGGATGGTGAGTCATAGTTTCCCTTTCCCGTTTGTGCTTAATTTCCCATGTGATGGTCCAGGGAGCCACCGCTCCGCAGCAGAGGGGTCTGTCACACCCCCTCCCAGAAAGGGGCTGGAGAGGTTGCTGCTTTCCCAGTGCTCTAGGTATTGGGATTGTTGGAGCAGGGCATTGAGTTAGGGGGCAGCCAAGGTTGGCTCTGGCTGAAGAGGGCCTGTGCACACCCTAGTGCCTACCCAGACTTCAAGGTCGACAATCATTCACTCGCCACGCAAAAGCTGTGAGAGTGGGCTCCTTCTTCCCTGGTGTCCAGTGAGTCCTCAGTCATTCATGCCATGCAGCCCTCCTGCTAACATATTGCTCAGCCCAAGTCAGAGGGCGACACTCACATTGTATATTACTCGACTAATGAGAAATTTGGCCTGACCGTCTCCTTTTATTTTATTTATTCATATCAACCAATTCTAATTATATGTATTCTTATTCATTGCAAGCAGATATAGGCAGCCTGTGTCTTCCCTCTAAGCTCCATGATGAGTAGCATGAATATTCAAACCTCTGTTGAGAAACCTTCTTTGTCACACATCTGCAGTGAAATGACAGCATTCTGTAGAAGGAAAACTTTCTGTAAAACATTTTGTAAAATGTCCTTTCTAGGACATTTTAGCATCTTTTTGGTCATAATCAACTTTTATACAATCCAAAAGGTCTTTCATTTCAGATCACCATTTCAAATTCCATAGACTTCCTGCCACACACAATATTTATACCTGACATTGGGAGGTGAAGAGAACACTTCCCAAGAACACTGTCAAATGCTGCCTGCCTTGTGGGAGTCACTATTTATTTCACAGACTCAAGGTTTCTCAGTTTCCCATTTGCATGTGTGGGCAGCCGTCTCTTCAGTTCATTCCCCATGTTCTAATTGGCTCACTCTACAGGTTCTTGGCTCTGTGCTTGGGAATCGTAACTGGCTTTTAACCCACCTCACCTGAACAGCAGCTTCTGTGTGTATTTCAGACAGAGATCCTCATTTTTTTAATTTCAAATGGATTTTAATTAGAAGTTTTGTTTATTTACTTTTTAATCTGATGTAGTAATATTGTAGTATTTTTTACTGCACTTGTAAAAGGCAAAACTTGAAAGAGAGAAAAAATGTTGTGGGAGAGAATGTATTCATTCAGAGAAAACAGAGACTTCCCCTGGACTTAGGCTGGTCACTTAAAGGCATGGACCTTATAATTGTAAGTATCAGAGTTTTGCTTGCATGAGCTGATGTTTTCAAAAATCCTCACTCTTAACACTAGCAGATTTTCTGTCTCATAAAAAGCAACTTTGAAAATGACTGGATATTTCCTAACATCCACTGAAATGGAAAGTTTATAATTTTCCACCGTGACCTGAGTATCTGGCTATGAGCATGAGCCAGATAATCCTCTTGGAATGCTATAAACTTTCATCCATATTCTACTGCCTTTTTAATATGGGAAGAAGCTAAACAACTTGTGAATAGAGCAGAGGGTGAAAACCTCCTATCGATTGCATCATTCTCTATACTTCTTATCATTTAAAATACCTGCCACTGAAAACCTTCCGTTAAAGGAGTGAATCTGCCATTCCCTACAGAGAGCTGCCTTTTAGTCTGAAGAAGGGTGTGTCCTAAGCTTTTACCTGGGAGCAAGGATGATCTTGTTAAGCATCTTCATGAGACCAGCCCAAGTGTTTAGGGTGGGGATCTAGACTGGTTATACGTAGCTTCAGTCCTTCTCCCAGCAAAGGCAGAAGCCTGCATGTAGAACATCTACTGGGAAGTTATTTCAATCAGACACCGGCTGAGTGGAGGGAAGAAAAAGAACAGAGGAGAACAAGCAGCACTCCCCTGGTCCTGGATGTGAGAGCGCCCAGCAGCGATGGACTGGCACTTTGGAACAGCTGCAGTGCTGCTCATTTTTCTGGTAAGTGGGTTCTGTTTAAAAACCTTCATAATCTCTCTCATTGTCAGCAAGTGAGAACTTTTTAGACAGTGTTGTTTAGAGTTATCCCTAACCTAACCCATTAAAAGTTGATGTTAATGACAATGTGATTTTATGAACTAGATTTTTAAATCGTATTTCTCTCTTTAATTGAAGACTCAAGATGGTATTAATGCATCAGTGTCAGCTCATCATATGACATCTCTGACATCAAAGCCATTGCTGTGTCATTCTGAGAAAATATGAAATTTGGGGGAGTCATCTCACTTTTTAATAGCACTTTGTTGTTCAAATTCTCTTCTGCTGCTGTGTTTTTAATGTAATAGCACAGGCATGTCCTGCTTTTTAACTTAAACATTTTTATACTCTTTTGGTATCTCTGCTGGTAGATCTGCTGTAGTTTTTAAAACATAGGAACAGGATCCATATAAACTAAAAACAACAGTTTGTGACTGGCCTCACTATCAAGATAACCTCATTGTTTCTATATGTGCCTGGGATCCCCATCACTAATATCAAAAGTCCAACACTGTTAACCTCTGAATTTATTCAAAGCAGTATTTTTATTTAAAAAAGTATGATGGTATGGGAGATTTATAAATGACATGGTAAGTGAAGGCATGTCTATAATTAAGAAGTGTAATTATTACAATACTGGTTCTTACTGGTTCTTAAGAAAATCTTAATATACAAGTTGCTATTAATTATCAGACATATGATGTACAAGTTGCACATTAATTATCAGACATATGTAATAAAAAGGTATATCATTGTCCTCCTTTCACATTAGTAGTTTTATCTTTTAAAGGTAATACGAAGTACAGAACCTATGTGTTGCATCAATTTCCATGCCACTCATGACACAAATTTCTAAACCACAATCTCCCTAATAGTAAAGGTAACGTAATCCAGAGGCAGAGCCAGTTAAACAGTAATCCAACCTCACAGGGCATTTGTGTGCTATGGTTCATATTTGTTTCTGCTTGCTTAAGTTTTAACTGGATTGTTGCATTTCGATAGTAACAAGTTAGATCTTTGATTCAAGATTTGTTTTCATTAGTTTATTAATTAAGACACGTCATAACCAGTGGGTTTAGTTATAAATGAGCATCAATAAGCTGGTAGCTTTAGAGCCAGATTGCCTTTTAAACATAACCTCCACCCCATGGACCTTCTAATGGACCTTCAGGATCAGTTGATACCATAACTTGGGATGTGGTGGGAACTAATGAGTGTTACGCAGTATGTCATTGGGATAGAGGAGCATTTGTACATTGTGAAATTTTAAAAAATACTTTCATTTTTAATTTTATAGAAATTTGATCTTTTAAGGTCTATTATAGTTACAGTTGATTATTCAGATGCATATGTACATTCATTAATCTAAAAGATACCTTATTTCATTATATATATGAACATTTTTATTTACATCCTATAAAATTCCTTTAAACAGCCATTTTCCAATAGTCATTCTTCATTAAAATCTATTATTTTATCAAAATCATGTATCCTTTTTGAATTTTCTCTTTGTAGAGAGATTTCTGGGCATTTTTACTGTATTTCCTGAGTCTGGGTAGGTTTCTTTTGTGTGAATGGTTTGTCTGTTTGTTTGTTTTTTGCCATATTTTACCTTAGGATCAATCACATTTCTCATATGCCTTATGAAAATTATCTCTCAAAGAACTTAGTCTATGATGAATTCAAATATTTCACTTTTACATTATTATAACACTTTTGTAAGACATTTCACTTTCTAAGGTTTGGAAAATCATAATTTATTTTCACTACTTACTGATTTAACCATTTGATTTGGATAAATGTCCTTTGGAATTCTGTAGTCTATTTTTGCTTTAAAATACATTTTTTTCCTGAAGGGTGACCACCACTGTAGAAGACTCTTTCATTTATCTTTCTGCTACTCTCACTATGAATGTTTGCTTTTACAAAAAAAAAAAAAAAAAAAAGAATAGAAATGTATGTAAAGCCTTTATATTCTATTCTGCTCAAAATTGATAAGTGAAAACCTACAGTAGGGAGCACAGCTGGAAAATTTTGTATAACTTTAAGACATTTAAACTGGTAGTACCTTTTATGCAAATCCATTTGAGAACTGGGCAGCCATCTATTTGCTGTGTATGCAAACATCTATATGTTGTGTAGTCTTCTCGATATACCTGAAGGTATAGACGTTGTTCAAATAAGTGGATTAGAACTGGGAGAATAAAAATGAAGAAGCTGCTTTTACAGTGACCCATATTGCCACAGGATTATTCCATTTAGACAAGTCTTTGAATAGAAAATAGCTTATACCTGTTATAACACAGCAAGTCAAATAAATGATATTGGATCTGCATTTATTTTTTGCACCTTTTGGCTTCCATGAAATTAGTATATGGGTGGCTATGCTAAGCTAAGGAACAATGTTACTTATGTGCCAAATATAAGAAGTCTCTGAGAATGCTTGTGACAGTTATATAAGGTATGGCATGGTCACTGTGGGAAAGCAAAAGAGAACCAGTAGGGCTTTTATAGTTTTAATGATTTTTAAAACTTGTAACTTTCTTAGGTCCAGTGAGTACAATCACTTTTGAGTTGTCTTTTTCTATAAAGCAAAATTCTGTAGCAAAAAACTCAAATTTTGTAGCAAAAAACTCAAATAAATTTATCTTTATCTAGTACGAAGAGTGATCCAGTTTCTTCAGGACATGATACCAGCCTAGCTACTTCTATTTTCATGGTTAGCATTTCCTTTCCCAAAAAGCCTTGTAACCACCTGATAATCTAAGCCCACACTGTGAACTTAGCTGAAATTATTTATTACTTAAGCAGGAGTTTACCTGAGTATTTCTCAGCACTTAGAAAAAAATACGGAAAAAATAATACAAGTGTGGACAAAAATAGGCTTACAGTTGTGAATAAGCTAAGCACAGTTTATTCTTGTATTATTATTTATTAATTATTGTATTATTTATTTGTATTAAAATGGTAAGCATACTTGGTCCCACCCCTGTATATACTTTATTACATAATTCATCAACTTATTTGAAATGGACATCTTAAATTCCTATATTTATGTTCAGTGATGACAAAAGGGAAGAATTAACAAACTACTGATTTCTCGAGTACATATTAATAATGATATATATAATAGATATTAGTATTTTGGTAAAAATTTTATAAAAAATGAAAGCAGTATTTCTGTTCACTTGTTAGTAAAATTTATAAATTGTATTTGAGCAAAATCAATTCCACTTACATAGGGTTCTTAAGTGCAGTTTTCATGGCACATTTTAAGACCGACATCTTTCACTTTTATGAAAATGGAGAGTTCAAATGTATCATCATTTAATTGGTTTTTGTTGCTGCAGAGGAAAGGTATTTTGCCATGTCTGATTTAGGCAATAGAAAAACTTAAAATGCTGCCTTAATAAATCCAAAGACTTGGCCCATAACTAACGAAATACGCCTACTTAACAGGGCTCATGACTCTAGAAAAACAACATTCTTGTCTATATCCAGAGCACTGAATTTCTGATAATGCTTTCAAGGACATTATTGCTGAATGTCCTCATGTCCTAACGGGAATCACCTAACACATAAGCAGGAGGCATGCTTAGGGTTGCAGTTAGACTCCCTGTGTTCCCACCAGTGAGGGAACACCCTTAGAGATTAGATTCCTGGGTCATCCACCCTTGCTGATGGATGCTTGACATGCAAATTCCTTAAATGGATTTAGGCGGTCAAAGAAGCTTAAATGTCAATGGTTGCTGATCATACCCTCAACTAGTCTAGGAGAATAGAGCTCAGTCCTTTATACTTATAGGAGAATAGAGTGTCTGATGAAAACCCACATCCCCCAAATTAATGGCTGACTGTTGCTTATAAAATTACTAGACTATAAGTAATTTGAGGGCAGGATCTGTCTGATTCACATTTGTACGTTTCATGGTGCTTTGCACCAATGTAAGATTGCTCAGTAGGTATCTAATCAGACTACATAGAGGCATCAGAAGGGAATTTTTGGATAGTTTATATTTTCCTTCCCCTACACATTCCAAAAATTGTCAAGGTATTAAACATGGAAATAATCATGTTGAGTTTCCCTAACACTGATTTTTATGATGTAGCATTACGTTTACTTTACTTTTCATCTAAGGCTTACCATAATATTTCTAGTGCTTAAGCCTTTAAAGGTCTTATTACAGCCTTGGATCCACATCAATATATACTTGTCAAATAAATAAACCGATGAACACATAAGAGAAATCAACTTATCAAGAAGTCAACTGCAGAATGCTAACTTTTGTGCAAGTAATAAAGAGGAAACACAAAAGAAGTTTTTTAAAAGAAGCGATCTTTTATATTTTAGCTTTATATAAGTACATTCTTGTGGTGTCTGTAACACTTAAATATATTAGAAAGGAATGCTTAACCAAAAATGCCAAGTAACTGGAAGACCACTTCACAGTTATTAAATGCAAGAGGTTTTCATTATAAAAATTATAAATCACTAGTTTCAAGACCATTTTTGTTACAGTAAAACAATGTAAAACACAATATTTAAAAAAGAACCCAAAACAATATAATTATTGATTCATTGAAATTAGCATGCAATTTTGTATCCTGTGGTTGATGGGTTTTCCTTTTGAAAAAACATACGTGGTTTGGCTTCTAAAATATAGATGATGGGAAGAGTCATTGAGGATTCACTTCAAGTGAATTATTCAGTGCTACCAGAATTTTTGCATTACAAGAGGTTTTAGGCTCATATACAGAAGTGAACTGGTAACTTACCCTTATGTCCGTATCAAGGGGGACAAGAGACTAAGAGGTACTCAATGCGTTTGACTACTCTTATATTTATCTCTAAGTAAATCTCATTCACAGTCTCCACAGAACATATTTCCAAATTATTTTGGAATTTATATTACTCCCCTAATTACCCAAAAAACAACTTTATCCTTACCCTAATTCTGGATCATCCAGTATGATGCCCTTCAATTTCCCTGTCCTAATCGATTGATTTTAATCTCCACTATCTCACTCTTCCTTACCCTCTGTCTTCAGAGCCCTTTCTTTCCCCCTCCTCCCTCCTGCTCATCACGTACCTCCAGCAAGTACTTTCTCAACCTCTCCTGTTTCAACTCAAAATCTCCCACTATTCTCTTACTCTACTTTGAAAAATCCACCTCTCCCTCTCCCCAAATGTCTCCTTGGACACATCCTCCTATTTTGTCACTTCTATTTTCTTCTACCACCAAATTTCTAAAAAAAAAAAAAAAAAAAAAAAAGGCATCTTTTTGTCCTCTTTTCCTCCATTTGTTCCCCCTCCTTGTGAGTCAGGAAGGGCCTGTTCCATCCAACTGAGATCATTCTCCTGAAGGTCACAGAAAACCTCAGTTTGTCAGCATTCACTCTGCTCCATTTTGTATATCATCTAACATTTGTTCACACTCTGTTTTTCAATTCTCCTTCCTTAGACATTCATGACATTGCCTTATATTTTCCTCCTATTTTTTTGGCCACTTTTCTATCTCTTTTATTTTTTCTTGGTTATGTGTCATGGTTCCCAATTATATAAACTCAGGAATTCCCCTGGTTTCATCCTCAGCCATGGGCTATTTCTTTTCTGTGTTCTCTACTTTAGGGATTTCAAATTCTCCCATGATTCCAACCATTCCCCTGAGCTGGTGTCCCACAAGTCTATGTGTGAGGACTAAACTCTTGTTCATGGTGCTGACATATATTTCAAATCACTAAACATCTTCACCCGGCATTTCTCTGGCATCGCAAACTGGATGTGTTCTAACTTGCTAAACTGTGCTTCTGCCTTGCTCCTGATCTCCTAGTTTAAAACTGCAATGACCCACATACCACTTGTTTTCAAACTCTGTCAGTTTCAACCCAGCTATATCTCTCCCTGGATCTTTCCCAGTTTCCTCATCTCTGCACTGACTTGATACAGAAATTCAACTGCTCCCTTGCCTATAATTGCTGCTTCTTCCCACCACCTCCATCAATTTTTGTCAAAGTCTTCTTTTAAATCCACAACTTTATCATCTCCTTTTCATGATCAAGAAACTTCAATATTTTCCTACTGCACATAGAGATTTGGTGTTAAAATTCCAAAGGTAACTGCATATAACCTAGTCAATACCTGTGATTTTAAGAATGAGAAAACTGAAGCTCATTGAATTTAGCAGGTAAAGTGAAAGTTTTCTGACTTGACTTAATGTTCTTTTTATCTCATTATTTTTCCTTTAAAAGTCAGAGAGAACTTTGCTTCAGAGTTTATTTTAGACTCTGAGCAAAAGGCAACATGGGTATGTCAGCACACCATGTTTTTAAGAAGACTTGGCAGTTTTTTAATTACTAATCCAATTGAGAGCCTGACTATACAGTGAAACCTACTCAGTCTTCTGCCTAAATTGTCTCTCATGAGAAAAAGAATGACCCAGTTTCATAAAGTGGGAAGGTTAGCGGCCTCCGGCATGGCTCTCCAAAACAAACAGTGGCGCTGACACTTCAGTGTGGTAAGGAAGTGCAAGACAGATAACAGATGAATACGCAATCCTGTAGCTATGAAGAACTGGCTTCCAAACAGACAAATGAGGTATCCCCACAGCCCCATACAACACCCACAAATGAGAAGAGTAAGTGTTCATGAGTTCAAGGTAGCAAGAGGCACACAGCTGCATCAACATCATTTCAGTTCTGCACCCAAGCGGGACTCTACGATAACATTTCGATTACTTGTCCAAACCATTTGGTCTATGTGCTTTTCTTCTTAGCCCTCTCCCCCAGTATGACTATTATTGTTGTCATTATTATTGTATATGACCATTTTGAATCACAAGGACATGAGGCTAGATTAAAATTGGAACTTATTTTTGAATTCTCAACATTGTAATGTTAATTCCCTGTAGTTTGTTTTATTTAGTAATTTACATAAACAGGCTATTTTGTACTTAATTGTAAAACCCACATCTCAAGCACAAATTTAGGCTGAATTGTAATGGATTGTGTTTAGTCATTAATATCGAAACCTCAATTTCTTCATCTGTAAAATTAAGGTAGTTATAGTATTGACCATGTGTTATGTGTGAAAGTTAAATGAATGGATTTCTGTAAACATGTTGCCTAGTACTTACTTATTTAATGAATTGTAATGATGATAATAATAATGATTAATGTTAAATATATACCATGAGTATATAACTCCTACAATAACAATATTATCTTTTTAAATTATTCATATTGACCATAGTACAAATTTTCTTGAATTATCAAGGCAATTTTTTAAAACTATGTACTTAGACATTAAAATTTATTTTAATTTAATGGTGAAATTAAAACTCATTATAAACTTATTTACTATATTTTGAAATTACTATTATTAGTATTTTTAAAGATTTTATTTATTTATTTATTTATTTATTTATTTTTGGAGAGAGGGGAAGGAAGGCAGAAAGACTCAGAGAGAAACAGCAATGTGTGGTTGCCTCTCACCCACCTCCCGCACTGGGGATCTGGTCTACAACCCAGGCATGTGCCCTGACCAGGAATTAAAACGGAGACCCTTTGGTTCTCAGGTCGGCACTCAATCCACTGAGCCAGGGCAATTATTAGCGTTTTTAAAAGGCAAATCGTAATTTTTAAAAAATCCTCATCTGAGGACACTCTTCTTGATTTTAGAGAAAGCAAAGGGAGAGAGAAAAAGAGGGAGAGAAACATTAATAAGAGAGAATAATGATCAATTGGTTGCCTTTTGTATGCGCCGAGAGCAGGGACCCAATCTGAAACCTAGGCATGCACCCTGGGAATTGAGCCCATGACCTTCAGATTGGAGGATGATGCCCAACCATCTGAGCCACACTGGCCAGAGGGAAAAACAAAAACTGAAGATTCACAGTGTATTAATTCTAAGTGTAATTTAAAACAATAAATGCAAACTAGCCTTCAAATTCACACCTAATTTTTTAGACAGATGTTTTACAATGTCTTAAGTGTGCTGATATGTTAAACTTAATACATAAGTGTTTGTGTTTTTAAAAATGACTTTGGTTTTTAGAGAAAAATAAGTTAAATTACCCATATTTAACACTAAAAATCATGTGTAAAGGTCAAGGCCAGACCTGAGCTGAAATTAGGCAGAGCTATAGTTGACTAACTTACTTATTTAATGCAAGAGAAAAAAACTAATGTAAGTTGCTTACCCAGCGATTTGTCACTACAGTCTGAAAGTTCTTCTTGCTATGGATGGATGCATTTATATCACTAACTTTGTTTAGGGCAAACAATAAAACATCAAATATGAGCTCATTTATACATAGATACAATTATTTGTTTTTATTTTAGAACTTCATATTCTCATATTTCAAAGCAAGTACAAAATTATCTTAAGATTTTCAAGAGTGATAGAAAATAGCTCACTTAAAATTAGAATGTAAAGAAGCAAATATTTTGAAGCTTCCTGGATACTCTCTACTTCGTATTCTTTCTTCATCCCAAAATATTATTCTTCTATTTCCAACTGAGTCTGCTCAGATGCTAAAGCTATAGTCAAAAGTTTTAGTATCATAACTTACTGTTGAACTACACCAAATATCTCCAGCTCTTCAGGCACAGGATTTACTAAGAGAACACTGTTCTCCAACTTTCATTTCCACTGTGTTCTAGTTTATATTACCCTCGCTCATATGATTATGAGTATCTGCTTAAGCTAAGAATGGAAAAGTTTAAAAAATACAGTGGAAAAAAAGATAAGCAAAATTAGAAAGTAAAAACTAAAAGAAAAGGAATCATTAGCATCATTATCAGACCTGAGAGATAAACCAGGTCCACCTGCTGTCTAGACCGAGAAAATAATTTTAATGACTCAGATGTTTGATTTTTTTAATGATTTGATAAAATAAATTAGAAAGCGTTTATTAAAAAATTAAATATTGTGTTTATTGTATTTTTTATAGGTGGTGGTAGAAATTAACAGTGAATTTCGAATCCAGGTAACATATATCACATTTTTTTCTTCAATTTAAAAACAAGGAAAATGGTTTGAGAGTAACAACATATCCCCGCCACCCCACCCCCAAAATCATCCTTATAAGTAAAGTTAATGTTATGTTGAAATTAATAGAATTTCAAAATTACCAGTCTTCCCAAACAATTATCCTTTCTGACATGACAGCTACCCCTTCTACTAGTTTTTTAATGGAATGTGAATTATGAATAAAAGTTAATAGGTACCATTACTTTACCCTGCCCATTCAAGGTACGAGATTATAACACTAAAAATGGCACCATCAAGTGGCATTCAATCAGAAGGCAAAAACGTGAATGGATCAAGTTTGCTGCTGCCTGCCGTGAAGGTGAAGACAACTCTAAAAGGAACCCGATAGCCAAAGTGAGTATCAACCCCAAAACATAAAAAATCAAAATGGATGAAGTTAAAGTTTCAAAAGAACCTGTCTTTTAAATATTTTATGAACATATCTCACTGAGAAGTTATGATGTAAAACAGAATAGTCATTCAGGTTATGAAAATTGAAGCCATTAAAAGGATAAGTTAAGAAATGTAGGCACTCGCTTAAACAGTTAAACACCGACTCACCTTACTGGTGAAATTAATACACATACGTAATCATGTGTTACCTTAAACTCTAGATTTTATAATGATAGTGATTTAAGTAATGAATTTACCACTCGGCACAGTTAGAGGAACTATTTCAATGTCTGCTCTTTCTGCCTCATAATCTATTAGAATTAAATTCCTGCTTTTGGCTTGTTTATGAGCATTCACCATGTACCCTCTTTTGTAATATTTTTCCTTTCACTTCCCTTTATGTCTTTGTAAAGAACACGCACACATGCACACTGAGAAACACATCCTTACTCACTAATTCACTCATATATGAATATATACATATATGTACACTGACACACATTCAAACATAATACTTTCACACAGATACACACAAGAGATACTCCCATACAATAATTTATTTCAAAAAACTGTCCTGGTTTCTATAACCATTTATTTAAGCTGGTCTCCTCACTTTCCTGCTAAAACATCCTCCCATTTTCAGAATTAAGACCTTCTACATACAGTCAGATATATTTTCTTACCTACGTAAATCCACCTCAATCTTCTCTAAAACAACATTTAAAGTTGTTTTATAATTGGAAGATAAAAGTTAATGTAATAACAATTGGTCTACTCCTTAAGATGGCAAGTTCCCTCCTCTAGACTTAGTGCTAGCATGGAGCCTGAAAATAATATAATCAAATTGTAAATGATGAGGGAATGAGTGAATCATAAATGATCTAATACATTAAATGAATTAGGGTGATAATTTTATTTTTTATTATTTGGTAGAAATACACGTAGAATTTCTTCTATTACATTAACAATAACCACTGAAAATATTAGGGCTGTAACTACGTCACTTATCTAGTAAAATAGTTTCCTACTTCCAGAACTTCCCCCAAAATAACAGGGACAGAACATTCAACACATCTTTAAAAAGAGAGCAATTATATATGAAGTGTAACAGACTTATTTTGCAGCCTGTCATGTTTTCAACTGTGCTCTTTCCGCAGATCCATTCAGATTGTGCTGCAAACCAGCAAGTTACATACCACATCTCTGGAGTAGGAATTGATCAACCACCTTTGGGAATCTTTGTGATTAATCAAAAAACTGGTGAAATCAACATAACATCCATAGTTGATCGAGAAGTCACCCCGTTTTTCATTGTAAGTGAGTGCTGTGTCAATATACACGTTCAGTCCTAAGTTATTTTTGGAATATCTCAAGCTCAGCTCATATTTGATTTCATTTTAAGAGTCTCAGTATAGGTATTTTGGGTTGTCTTTTAATTCATGAGCAGCTATGACCCAGAGACACAGAGAGAGGGCTGAGAGACTGAAGAGTGTTTCGCTTAATTGCTTTAGCAAAAATGCTAACCTTTGGCCTGGCCCAAGTGGCAGACTAGAGCATTTGCATTGGAGGGCAAGTACTCAACCTTTACTTTCCTTAATACAGTTGAGAATGTTGGTCTCCGCCAACTCCAGGGCCAAGTGATGATTCTATAGGTGCTACAGGAGCCTTTTCTTAGTGAACATACTTTCCTATAAGTGCACGTTGCTCAAGCTCACCTGAGCACAGCATTTGCCTTGGAAAGACTTCAGTTCCTCTTTAAATGAATTTTACTCTGTTCTTTACGGTAGCTATGACAAAGCTTAAGTGCTCACTCTTCAAACCCTTAACGTCATTCCTACTGCAAGCAGCTGACCTCATACCAACTCCATTAAAATATCTCAGGCTCTCTGCCACAGACTCCTACAATTAATTCTCCCTGCCTGCTCAGAAATGGTCTACCTTAAATCCAAAAGCAAGATGAACCTTCTATGTTTCTTTAATATAGCTCAAGAGTTTCCATTTTCCCATAATTACCTGGTATTCAAGAACTTTATTTTTCTGCTTGCTCTGTGGGTTGCTTCCATCGTAGTCTATACACTTGTTAGTACTTAATATTAAAACTAATGACGAAAAACTTTCTTCATTTTGTAATCTCTTCTATTAAAACCCCATTCAATCCATCTCCATAAATACCTCTAAAAATAGCCTTGCTGCTTTCATTCATACTGCTTGTCTGTATTCTTAAGACTATTTTCATTCTTTTGCTAATTTTAATTTTTAAATCATGTTTACTCTATTACAGTTGTCTCAATTTTTCCCGCTTTGCCTTCCTCCACCCATCCCCCATCCCTCCTCCCAACTCCCACAGTCAATTCCCACTTTGTTGTCCATGTCCATGGGTGATTCATGCATATTCTTTGTCTAATCCCTTCTCATTCTTTCCACTATTAGTCTTCTATTCCACATTTATATCCCTCACTCATTTTCCACAATGTTGTCCCCAAAATTCTCTAAAACAGCATACCAGCCTATTAGCTTTTGTTAAAGCACAACACATTTTTACATGAAATATACCATAGGTAAAATAATATACATTATATTATACTTATGCACACACCTAATAATAATGAGAATACAAGCACCCATATAGCCACGACCTACCTTACGAACGCTCTGTTTCTTCGAAGCTCCCATGGGACTCTCCTTTACCACAGCCTCAACCCCAGTAGTCCCTATTCCTAATTCCAAACACTGCCTTTTCATTACTTTGTTTCTTCCTTCCATGAATCCCTTTCCTTGGAACACCCAGCCGATTCCCAGCTCCACTTGTTGAAATTCCCTTCAAGATCTACCTCAGTCATTGCGTTTCCTATGATAGCCTAGTGTTGCTGTTCGTCCTTTCATAGCTGGTCATGTGACCTTTCCTCAAATGGTATTTTTTGTTCATTTTTACCTGCACTTATTGACTGTAAGTACTGCTTGTGCTTACACTCCAGTAGTGTTATTTTTTTTCAGTTACACAGTGCCTAGTACTGATCCAAGCAAAATAAAAATGTAAGATTTGTTGAATTATATAATTATTCCTCTTTTATTTTCCAGATCTACTGCCGGGCCGTAAATGCACAAGGCCAAGATTTAGAGAGGGTTCTTGAGCTCAGAGTTAGGGTCTTGGATATAAATGACAACCCTCCAGTGTTTTCTATGTCTACTTTTCTAGGACAAATAGAAGAGAATTCTAATGCAAGTAAGTAAGCAACTTTATTAAGTAATTAAGCATATATTGGCTTCCAGATCATTCTTCATCAAAACTGCTTCTAGCATTAATGGTAAAGATGAAAGATAGGACAAAGGATGTAGTTAAATAAGCATCTTTTTAAACCTTCTACTTCCCTAGCCCTGAACTAGGGACCATTCAAAACAGAGCAATAAGACATATTTACTGAGGATGCATTAGCCAGTAGGAAGTGTGTATGATTTTCTCACATGAAGCTGCTTAATTTGCTCATGAACTCACAGAGGACAGTACTGTTATCATCCCCATTGACAGGTGTGGAAACTGAGACCAAGGTCATACATCAGGAAAGTGCCACAAAGTTGAGAAGCTGATGGTATCAGTTTGTTTAATATCATTTTGTTTCACCACAGTGACCTTAAAAAAACAACAACATTAGACTAGAATAGGAAATGGAAAGGCAGAATCCAACATTTCTATGTTTTCTAACTATCAGCAATCTCTAGGTTCTTGGTAAAATGTGATCTGTCGTCAATGCAAACGTATAGAAAGGAGGTAATATATGACTACGTGAGAGGAGGAGAAAGGAAAAATGGAAAAGTGCACATGATGTGAACCAAAAAGCCTAACAAGTTGTTGAAAAAGTAAGATACTATATTATGACAAAAATGGAAACTGTCCAATAGCAATACATTTTCCTTGATTTCTAGATACCCTGGTGATGAAACTCAATGCTACTGATGCAGATGAACCCAATAATTTGAACTCCAAAATAGCCTTCAAGATCATAAGCCAGGAGCCTTCTGATTCATCCATGTTCATTATCAACAGATACACTGGCGAAATTCGAACAATGAATAATTTTCTAGACAGAGAGGTAATTTCTTTTTCTTTGAGTGAGCGGTTAGTCCATAGGAACTGACTCTAAAAGCAAGAGTACCTAAGAGAGAAAAAAGGAACTATGTTTTAAATTTTTAATTGCCTAATCTTTTTACATAATGGTAATGACATAAAAACATCTTTAAAATGAAAAGAGGGGGTTCCTCACATACATTTTATACTGTCATTTCTTTCATTTAATCTGCCAGCATTTGCCTCAACTTAAGAAAACTGTATTCTGAGGGCCCACAACATATGCATTCAGTATTTTGCTAGAATATCCCCCACCTCGGAGAATCACAGTGCATGAACATGGCTGAGGCTCCGAGAATTTTTACAGGCTAAGCTACTGGTTTATCTTTCTTTTTTCTTTTTTTTTAAGATCTTATTTATTTGTTACTTTAGAGAGAGTGGAAAGGAGGGAGAAAGAGAAGGAGAGGAGCATCAGTGCATGGTTGTCTCTTGCCCGCCCCCAACTGAGGCCGCGGCCCACAACCCAGGCCTGTGCCCGGACTGGGAATCTAACGGGTGACCCTTTGGTTCTCAGGCCGGTGCTCAGTGCACTGAGCCACACCAGCCAGGGCTGTTTATCTTTCTTTAACACAGTATATTGTAAACTTCTTTGACAACAAAAAAATCTTCTTTTACTTCCTGTGTTGCACCTGTTGACAGCCCATTGATTACCTTGGGATATGAATCACAAAAACACAATGATCATTAACAATTAAGTAACATCCAGATCAATGTTTGCATTTACAAAACAGAAAACAATTAGTGACTGTTATCAGGTAATGATCAGCATTATAGGTTTTCTACCATGCCCCGTGGTCTCATAACTTAATGTAAAAACATCAACTTTTCATTATTTTTTAATATTTATAGAATATAGCTGACCTGTACATATTGTACGAGCTATAAATGAGGAAGTTTTACTTTCTAAGTTATACCCTATTAATTTTAGTCAATATAGCTATTTATTTTTTTTAAAGATTTTAATTATATACTTTTAGAGAGAAGGGAAGGGTAGGAGAAAGAGAGGAAGAGAAACAGCAATGTGCCAGAGATACATTGATCAGTTGTCTCTCACACACCCTGAACTGGGCAGCTGGTCCACAAGCCAGGCATGTGCCCGGACTGGGAATCAAACCAGTGACCCTTTGGCTTGCAGGAGGTCACTTAATCCACTGAGCCACACCAGCCAAGGCTCAGTAGACTTATTTAAAAATGACAATCTCCTGTTAATGGCCTAGAAGTTAAGCATAAATCAGATTATATTAACACTTCTTAATGATCCAAAAGCCATCAGTTTCTAGGTTACTTATATTTCCTTTTATACTTGCTTGAAACTATAATCAGAAGAAATGGACTATTTAGCTCTTTCTCAAGCTTTCTTAAAGAACCCAGTGAAAGTACTTTAATGTCGAAAGAGTTGTAGTGGTGAAAGCTGTAAGGAGGGAAAGAACTCTGTATTTACTGGGATGCCACCAGGGCACATATTCTTAATTGGGGTCCACGGGGAGACTCCGAGATGTCCCTAGCTATGAATCCTCTAAGAGTACATCACAATTTCGAATGAGAATGCAGTTATGCATATTTCTTGAAAAGCAGTCAAAGCTCATACCAGCTTCTCAAAATTTAAACACCTTGAGTAGAATCAAGAAGACAGATCATCAATAATTTCACGGCCACAACCTGCCTATATCACCCCCTGAGAAATGCAACCATGTTATCTGTCCTTTATTCCTCCACACTGGGGGCTGATTATCCAAGGTATGGAAATTTCAAACCAAAATTCTTGATAAACCTTAATTTCTTTCCTCCTGATCATTGTGACCCACTTTATCCCCTGTAAACATTTTGACATTCTGAGAATAGAATACGGAAGGAGGCCTTTAAGAGTGTTGCTTTTTAAAATGAGGTTGGACAAATATTTTGGAGACTAGAGACTAGAAGTGGCAACTTTCATATTGATTCATGTGCAATTTGTGAATTTTCCATCATCTGTTACCCTTATCACCACCATAGATTTATGTAACTTTTGTGGCAATATTTTAAAAGGACTTTGCAAGAGACAGAATAAGGACTGTCTGTATCAACTGATCTATTGTATGTAATGTGCATTTTAGCTATATAGCCAATATTCTCTTGCTGTAAGAGGTTCAGACCGAGATGGAGGAGCAGGTGGTTTGTCAGCAGACTGTGACTGCAGCATTAAAATCCTCGATGTCAACGACAACATCCCATACATGGAACACCCTTCAGTAAGTATTTGTCTTTGAAAATAATAATTTTTACTCATGACATCCTAAAATTTGTTTGAACAACCCTATTCACAGATAGATATATATGTTCTCTCTAGTCACATGCAACCCAAATTTAGACGTGTACTTTGTGCTTGTTTATTCAAAGCACAGGGAGAAAATATTTGAACACTGAAAAGTCTGACTATAAACACAGATCCTTTTTCTAAATATTGAATAACTGTAAATATTCAATATAAGTCTAGTATAATTCTCTCACTCACAGAAGTTTTTTTTTTACTTCTTTTTTCAGTATTCCATACAAATTGAAGAAAATGCTCTGTATTCAGATTTGCTCCAAATTAGAGTCATTGATTTGGATGAGGAGTTCTCAGCTAACTGGATAGCAGTAATTTTCTTTATCTCTGGAAATGAGGGAAATTGGTTTGACATAGAAATGAATGAAAGAACAAACGTGGGGATTTTAAAGGTTATTAAGGTATGGTATAATTATCCTTGTCTTTTTCCAAATGCTAATCTTAAAATAAAATGTTAAGATTTTACAAACGAGTGTATTAAAGAATGAAAATTACTGTTTTAAATGGTATATGAAATAGAGCTTTTACATAGACTTTTTGCTTATATAATTTTATGAAAGCAGACATTGAATTTTAACTCGAAACACTTCTGTTTACACAGTATTCCCTCACAGATCATAGGAATTGAAAGAAGTTCCAAGCATTAAACCTACCTTATACTTACAGAAAAAGTATGGTTAATGGTTAAAATATTGTTTTAGAATATTTAGAAAAATATTTTTAATCAGATTGAACATTAGCCTTTATAAAATGTGTCCATTTCTACATTATATGACAATCATTATACACTAAGAATATTCATCAAATAAATGAAAGTTCTTTATTCCTCCAGTGTCTTTTTATGAAATGAAATAGACTCTAACTGTAGAATCACATTCCCATCTCATTGTGGCCGCTGACCAAAGTTTATTATGACATAAATACACTAGAGATTTGGTCCAAGTCACTAGAGTTTTCCTGTGTCCCCCGTAGACTAATGATCCACCAGATTCACCTGCAGTAGAATTCCCTGTGAGACGTGAGGCAGAATGTCTGACTCCTGGGGAGCTGGCAGTGAAAACTTCACCCTGTGCTGCAAGACCTACCCGGTCTATGTTTAAAATTTGTGAAAGCGGTACATGGACTGTGTGTGGTGCGTGCAAGATGGATCTTTTTAGGAAAATATAATTCCTTTTTTGCTATTTCCTTCCTTCAGAATAATCCTCAGAAAAGACTCCTAAGGAATTCTGTCCCCTTAGGAATGTGTGATCACTTGTTTCATAAAGTGTCACCGTGGCTCTCGCGTCCATGTGGCGAGGCCCTGTGCAGAGCCTGGAGGCCATCCCTCCCAGCACCCCCGCCGTAGGTTACGCGCGCCCACGCCCACGTTCAGGCAGGTGCTGCGAGGGTCAGAGAGAGTGCGCAACCTGCTCGCGTTCTCCCGACGAGGAAGTGCTACAGCTGACATTCAGACCTCCGTCTCTCTAGCTACCCAGTCCGTATTCTTTCCACCGCGCTGCCTGGATTCCATGCTGGGGAAACGGAGTCCTAAACTATCTTACACCAAACCACTATAACGCTTGAGAAAGTTAATCTTTCCTCAATACCTCTCTCTGTAAAATGGGAATGATTTTGATTTTTTCTCCCAGACATGATATCATATATTCCCTTTTTTTGTGAATATATACTATATATAATATGTATTTGTGTTTCTGTATAATATATATGTATACATGATTTTATAGCCATTCTTTACATTGCAAATAGAGTTTATATTAGAGCAAAGACTAAAAATTTTATCTTAGTGGAGAGTTCAGTTTGTGAATAAATGGTCATCTAAGTTACTTGCATGTGAAAATTTAGAAAAACATTTGGCATAACGGATAGTTTGAGGATTTTATGCCTAGCAGGTACTGACACCATCTTTTATAATGAAAATGACTACTAGATTATTTCATAGAATGAAATATTTCTTTCACAATATGTGAAAAAAATAAGAATTTTTTTCTATTATGTATATGCTACATTCTAATACCTGACATTGAAAGTCACATTTTTATCAGTAGTAAAATTCTTCTAACAAGTTCTTTAGAGATAAAACCAGCCTAATGATGGGACATCCACTGTGTCCTGCACCTACTGTCTCTATATAGAACTACTTTCTGAAATACATGAAATGATAAAGCCAACATAAGTTGTCTTTGCGCTACATAATGCAAAGATTTGACTATCTATATTGTTTCTAATTTGGTTACCACTTAGGACTCACACATTTTCAATTTTTGTAGCAAAGGATCTAAGACAGTTGGATTTTTTCTTACTACATATAGTCTATATGTTTGTACTGAATTAAAGATAAAGAAAGAATATATTATATATTTATATGTATATATATTTAATTAAAGAAAGAAGCATAAGGATTTCTTTGCCTATTATCACAAGATTTCTTTTATTTCTAGAATTTTTTTCATATAATAAAACTATTTCACTCTGTATTTTCTAGCCCTTAGATCATGAAGCTATGCAGAATCTGCAACTTAGTATCGGTGTTAGAAATAAAGCTGAATTTCATCAGTCAATTTTGTCTCAGTACAAGCTCACAGCTACTGCAGTCTCTGTGACTGTGTTAAATGTAATTGAAGGCCCAGTGTTCCGTCCAGGTTCAAAGACATTCGGAGTAAATAGTAACATGGGACAAAATTATAAAGTGGGAGAATTTACAGCTACTGACCAGGACACTGGTCAAACTTCAACAACTGTTAGGTAAGACTGACATTTTCCAAGTAATTTTTATCACATATTGGATTAAGTACATATATTCTTTTTAGAAATGTTAAGTATGAATTAAAATATTTTTCATTATTTAGAGACTATCATCTAATTGTAAAGAATACTATCTACTGAACTATTACCTAATTTAGAGTGCTTAGCTTAAGAACATATAATTTGTATAAAATGTAAGATGTAAAAGTTTGAAGTTGTAAATTGTGGAAATATTGTATCTTTAGAGTTTGACACTCCTGTGCTTATATATTTTATTGCCCAATTAGCTGATTACCACATATCAAGGTTGTTTACCCTGGAAGATTTTATGGACTGATTTCCCCATTGGAAATTTGCCCAGATTGAAATCCACTAGATTTAGTTACTCTCTTTTCTTTAATCAGCACTTATGTTATACGCATGTGCTTGGGACCAAGCATTACAGTGAGGGAAAAGCCTCCCAAATGGGCTCTGTAAGTTTGCTCTCTGCGCTCTTCTCACACTGTGTGAGTAGTTCTGATCTGTCTCTTATCACACTGGGCCACCATTGCCGATAAACTCTCTTGTGCCCTGCAGATGTGAGTTCATGGAGGGCGGGTCACCCTCCAACCCACCACCCTGTTCCCCTTAAAGTTCTGCTCCCTGAGTTTAGCAGAATGCCTGACACAGAGAGTTACTGCCCAGTGCTTCCTTAACAAATGTAAATGAGGGGAGGAAAGGAGTGATGTGAAAGATGAGGAGAGAAAAGAGGATAGAAAACAGGACAGAAGCACAAGGAAAGGACAAACATAGTTTGGAATTCAACAGAAGCCCTGTGAAGTCATTGTGTATGTGGAGAGGGGGGGTGGAAATAGGGAGGGGATGACGGCCAAGCTAATGATGAAGTAACTTCTTTGGTGAGAGAATGATCTAGAATTATTATGAGCTCTCGAGAAGTCCTAGGATCTGGGTCTTCCACAATAACTCAGGTGTTTCCAATGTCAAAGCAAAATGCAAGCATTAAAGGAAAATTCCAATATCCAAGTGGGCCTAAGAGGCATTCCATCAGAAGTGGCTGCTCAGAAACTCTTCTTTCTTAAATTTACTTCTTTGTCTCTTTATTAGTGTTCTCAATTAGCTGGAATTGACCTGAAAAAAAAATTGACTCCAATAATGAGAAATATCCAGAGGTTACAAGTACTGACTTACTGAATGGAAACATATGTTTTATAAATGAAATCTCTCAGTCTCTCTCTCTCTCTTTCTCTCTCTCTCCACCCCCCTCTCATCTTTTAGAGAGCTAAAATTAATTTGTGCTCTTAACTTTCAAATACAGATATGTAATGGGAAATAACCCAGCAAATATGCTCGCCGTTGACTCAAAGACAGGCATAATTACTTTGAGAAATAAAGTTACCTGGGATCAATATAATATGCTTAATGGAAGATATGAAGGAACAATTCTGTCTATAGATGGTAAGAGAGTAATTTATTTTTTCCTCCTAAGAAGTTATACAAAGAAGTTTTATATATATATATATATATATATATATATACACACACACACACACATATATGTTATATATGTTATATATTCAGAAATGAAAATCTTAATAACTGTATTTTGAAGTAATGCTTTTTCCAACAAAAGTCCTTATATTGAGTATTATAAAATGAAATCTTTATTGATATTAAAGCAATTAGTGGATAAGACCATAAGCTCTTGAGTGAGACTGGTTTGGTATCTTGTACCATCACTTACTAGATATGGGATTTTAGAGATGTTATTTAATCCTTTTATCCCTCAGTCTTCAATACAGATTTAAAGAGTTACTATATGTAAAGCTCTTAGAGTTTCAAAAAATATTAGTTTTTATTAATGTAAGTAATTAAAATTTTTAAATTGTATGTATTGTAAAATTAATACACCAGAAACCAATCTAACTTAACTTTAAATAGTCTTTAAAAAATTGATGTAAAACTTTGTGTAACCATTTTGGAAGTAGTATGCTTATATTACTTTTCAAAACAGTGAAATTAAATTAGGCTGGTCACTGAAGGAGGAAAGTTCCTGAGGGCAGTTCTAGTAGCAATACTTGCTACTTTAGCGGCTCTTCCTCTCTTCTTTCTCCCTCTATTTTCCCTCTTTCAATCATCTTAAAAAAGGGTTAACAATTTCCACTATCTGTATGGATTAACAAAAAAAGATAACATTTCTTTAAAGTTATTCAATAATTCAGAATTTGTACAAAATTGTAATGATTTTTCCACAGTCAAAATAACGTAATTTTAAAACTATGTATTGCAAATAGAAATGTGATCCCATCCATCAATAAACCTAATTTAGATTCAGTACTGAAATAGGCTTAAGTAATTGCTAGTTTACTCCTTTTATTACATCCAACATCAAGCTTAATTGGGACATGAAGGGAAAAATGGAACTTAGCTTACAAAATTGTTAGGTTTATGGCAAGCAGAAAGCATGCCTTTTCTCAATAAAAACTGCAACCTTCTGGAGATAAATATTATATGTGATGATAATGATAAAAATAATAACAAAACAATAACAGTAGAATCAGCAGGGCTGAGATGAAAAGCATGGGCTTTGATATCATGGTCTGGATTTATGCTTGTCTCTCTTATGTGCTTCCATGGATATCTTTATTCATTTATTTTGAAACTATATATTGAATCGCAACCAAATGTCAGCCATTGTACCAGGCTCTAGGATTACATCAATGGACAACAGCTGTCAAGAGAGCTGACATTTTTATTAATATAACAGAGATTAAAACAATCATGTCCAACAAAATCATTCCTTTATTTTTACCAAATTTGAATAATCTTAGGAAAATCTCTAAATATAAAAGACTGAATACACATAAATATTACTTATAGCACCATCTATGATAATTAAATATTGAGGGCAATATCAATTATAGGTAACTGAGTAGACAAACCATCATCCACTTCATACAAAACTATAGACATCAGAAACTCTTTTAATGAAATGCTTTTTTTAAACATGGAAGAATTCTTACAATGCAAAGTAAAAAATATAAAATGGAATGAGCCATATGATCTATCAATGAAACTTAAATAAGTAAATTTTATGCATTATAATTAAGGCCAAAAGATAATACAACGGAGTATTAACACAGTCCTTGGGTAGTGCTACAATGGGCCTGTGTTTGTCTTTGTTTCTGTTTCGTTCTTTATATAATTCTATACTTTTCAAATTATATGCATTATCCAACTATATCCAACTATAATGTAAGGAAATATTCCAACCGTGTTACTAATAATAACTAATAATAAGGTTGAGTATAGTATTTCAAACAGTTCAGAGTATATGCTATGCACATGTAAATTGTCACAGTAGGTACATAAATATTGCTATTTCTCTTTCCTTGTAGTTGGACGAAAGGTACTTAGCTTTAGATGACCTGAGTTCATAGAGAGGAGTAGTGCAGTATGTATATAATTTGAATAATACATCATATTCTCTTTCATAAAAAATATGCTACGATGACTTTTGCAGCACTCTTAGCTTCATAAATATGGATTGCATGACATTTAAAAGATTAAGGGTTCAAAATATTACAAACAGTTTACATGGTTCAAAAGCATGTAAGATAATAGAAAAAGGGCTGGTGAATGTGGGTAATGGGGAGATGTTGGTCAAAAACTACAGACTTCCAGTTACTAAATAAATATGTTCTGCAGATCTAATGCACAGCTTTGCGATTATAAATAAAAATGCCATATTATGTACTTGAAAGAGATAATCTTAAATTTTCTCACCACAGGAGAAAGAAAAGGTATCCTTGTGATATGATAGAAATGTTAGCTAACACAGTCATGGTAGTAATCAAACGAGACTGCGTAAGTGTATCAAAACATCACATTGTACACTTTAAATTTACATGACGTTACATGTCCATTACAATATCTCAATAACATAGGGGGAATAGAGAGCAAAAACAAAGGTTATTATGGAATTTTAAAAAATTGCTTCAATGATAACCACTTGTAAATAACTGCAAGTGGGCTAGAGAAAAGGCTAATGTTCCATCAACATTACTCCCACACTGCAGCAGGGATAGAATTGACCACTGAAGTCTGGCCTGCTAACATATGTTGATAAAGAAACTCCTACATGGTACATGCCACCTTTGGAAATTTCACCTCTCAAGGAGAAGACAGTCGTACCTGGAACTCTCAGTAATGTGGCTTTTCTGTAGTGAGCAACTGCTAACCAGGAATCGTCAGCTTCAAATTCTACAGAAAATAAATAGTGCAGGTGTGATGAATAAATCCCTTTTAAGATAACTTAGGAAACAATAGTTAGATCAACTACATAAAAAATACAAATGCAAGTAGTTTCTATTCATTTAAATAGGTGTAAAGTATGACTGACTTTTTAAATCAAAGGTGAATGGTTGTAGCAATGTGTTTTTAATATTGTCTTGAGCAACTTTTCATTTAAAATTATCTTTTTTATCACCACACACATATACTATTTTTTGGTTAAATTATTATAGAATGAATATATGATTATTTTGATAGCATTTAATGGTCCAATTTTATTACAAGGACTCAAATATAGACTCAAATGTATTTCTTACTCAATTGTATTGAGGTGTAATTCACATTTAAAAAACACACTCTTTTTAAGTATAGAGCTTGATGACTGTTGGCAGATGTATACATCCATATATATTGTACATTGCCATGAACAAGACCTAGAACATACTCATCATCATAAGGAGTTCCCTTTTGCAGTCATTACCACAGCTCTGCTTCCAGGCACCTGCTGATCTAAATGCAGATGCATTTTGATGTACTGCCCTTTGTATCACGTGCACTCAAAATCAGCCCACTGTTTTGAAATGCTGGTTGCCTGGTTGATTAGTTTGTTGGCTGGTTGGATGAATTAAACAGCAAGTGTGGAGCAATTACATGGAAACAAATAAAAAATGTTCTTATCCCAGTATTTAGTCAAGGAACACAATGCTTTACTGAAACTTTGAAGGACAAGAAGAAAGAAATTTGGAATATCTGTTTATGAAACTAAGGTGTTTCACCTTCTAATTAAATTGAAAATTTGCCCCCACCTCCAATAGTGCCAGTTCCCTCTCCTATGAGTTATTGGTTGTGAGTTTGAGAATATGCTGCTTTATCACTAAGAAACTTTTGTAGAATTGATTTACCAACTTGCTGAAAATCTGTTCATTTTGTCAGTTCATAAAAGGAAAAGAACAAATACAGTTGAGGAAGAAAGACAATAAAACAGCAACGGAAAACACCTAGCTCTAATATAAAAAAACAGCCCAGAAATGTCTCCACTGTGGCTTGTAATAAACCACTGGCCAATACTTACTTTCTGTGGCATCTACTATTTATGCTTCCCGACACATGAGACAGTTTTTCAAGAGCACTAATAGTCATAACGGTTTGATTTAAAAACTGAGTCACGAACAAGGGAAAATTTGGGAAGTTGCTGAATGGACGGGAATAAAGACATTGAAATAAGTATTGATGCAAAAAGAAAATAGTTTTGTATTGTCTAACATTTATTACACTAAATGTATAAAATATTTCTTCCACTTTTAAACCTTGTTTCAGATGCTCTTCAAAGAACTTGTACTGGTACGGTTATTGTGAACCTAGAAAATGGTGGCTGGGCCACTCCTGAACTTACTACAATAGTTACCCCTGTATACGTAGGTGAAACTACTACTTTTAAAGGTTCTGATAATGACTTTAACAATGAAGATGGAGGAGGTGGAGGAGGTGGAGGAGGTGGAGGAGGTGGAGAAGGTGGAGACGGTTTTCCAAGGGAGCCTATTGGATTCGTGCCCCTTTTCCCAGATAACGTACATTTTGGTCCTGCTGGCATTGGGCTACTCATCATGGGATTCTTGGTGCTAGGATGTAAGTACTTTAAGAGTCTAATTTCTGTGTCCCCACCTCAAAACAATTATGAGAAGTTTTTTGATTTCTTGATAAAATGTATTTTACAAATTCTTGTTTTATTAATTATCAAGATATTTCACTTGGTACTGGATTGATAAGATTAAAATATCTGCTACAGAGTGGAGGATAAAAATTTATTAGCATTCAATCTTAGTGTAATGGGAAGTCCCATAATAGGCAGGTCAAATTGCTATTTGAGCAAGGAAGACAATGAGAAACAATTGATTAAAACAGTCAGAAAAGCCTACATAGAGAAAGTAAATTCTCAGTTGGGTTTTAACAGAACTAACTTGATAAATAGAAAAAAGAAACACAATACAAGGAGAAAAAATATCAATGGGCAAACCCCCCAAGAATGAAGTGCTGGTTACTGACGTAAAGGATTCCAATAAGGAAGAAGAAAGGATGTGCAGGACTGTATTCTGACAGTTGAGACTAGAAAGATAAACAAGCACCAGACCATAGAGGGATTGGATGCTCTGCTAAGACTTAATAGAAGGCAGAGTTAAATGAATGTACAGTTAAACTTCAGCTCCTAAATGTAATTGTCTGAGTCATTCAATGGGTACATAACTTTCTGGGCCTCTATTTTGTCATCTGTTACCACGCAACATTGTTTTGATGATGAAATAGAAGTACCACACACAGAAACATTTATGGTCACTAGATAGACCTAGTCAACTATCTAGCCATGAAGGTGTAATATCGAACGGATTCTCTAAACAGTCTTCAAGAGTGCCTTGGATGATGACAGAAATTGGAGTGGAGATGAGCCAGGTCCTACAGTCTCTGAGGAATGAGAAAGAAAGCTCCAAAGCAATAGGTTGATATCTGCACATTACTATTAAATTAATGTAAACATTGCCGTTTTTTTAAGTATATAATCATAAAACCTTAGTGTCGAGCATGCCTCAGACATTATTTAATTAAAACATTTAAAACATATATACAAAATATGAAATCTAACAAGTCCACCTATGACATATCTTTTCTACCTTCATTTTTTTACATACATAAGCAGCTATACAATAATTCACACTAAATTTATTACTAAACTGGATTTCCTCCTATTTTAAATAACATTCACCTTTAAATTTTTGATCAAAATTGAATTCATCTCAACCACATAGACTATGGACATGCCTATAGCTCAGGTTAAAGTTGAGGCTATTTTTCCACAAGTGAAAATAAATTTCAAGCAACAAGATTTATATGTGAAATAATAAGATTTCATTCTTATTCCCTCATAAGAAATTGAAATGACCATGGAAAGTTCTATTAAAGAGAAGAAAGATTAAAAAAAATTCTTATCAAAATAAACCAAGGCAAGAAAATGCTAGCAAATTTGCAGAATGAAGCATAAAATATATATATGAAAAACCCTGGCTGGTGTGGCTCAGCAAATTGAGTGCTGGCCTGAAAATTGTAAGGCTGTACGTTTGATTCCTGGTTGAGGCATATGCCTGTGTTGCTGCACAGGTTCGCAGTTGGGGGTGTGTGAGAGGCAACCAATCCATGTTTCTCTCACACATTTCTCTCTCTCTCTTTCTCCTTCCCTTCCTCTCTCTCTAAAAATAAATAAATAAAATCTTTAAAAATATAGATATATGAGAAGACATAAAAAATTCTCTAATTTCCCATTTTTGAACAAATTAAATATCAATCAAAATTTTAAAGCTTTGAAATTAAATATTGTTCAAATTAAAAATTTACCAGGTGCTGATTATCTCTGCTGCAAAAATATATAACATTAACTTTAAGTCTGCTTTTTATATTGGTGACTACTTTTGGGTAATGTAGTTATTAAAAGATTTATAAAGTATATATAGGCTTTAGAGTTAAATACCTCTAGATTCAAAGCTATCTCTAAGCCTGGCATGTTTTCAGGAAAGCAAACACCTGGAATTATCTTTCTCCATTTTTTCTTCTTCCCTCTCTCACTCTTTTTTAGAAAAAAAAAATGTTTATATTATTTATTACACTAAAAAACACAAACACTAATAATAATGCCTTGTGGCTTAACTCCATGGAGTTAAATACATTAACAATAATTTGCATACAACAATACAGTTTCCTTAACACCATAGAGAAATCATTTCACGTGCACATTTTCAACATGTTATGCATCTGTGATTCAGAAGTAACCTTGAACATTTTAAACAGCAAAAATACACAAAACAGTTACAAGCAAAAATAATGCAGGCAAAGTGCCCCGTGCTTTTATTCAGAGACACACCACAGAAATCTCGGGTTAAGAGAACTTTAAAAACTGTTTGGTGGTTAAGAATATTTGAGGGGGGAGTGGAGAGAATAACAGCTTTCCCTTTGGCTTAAGAGAGTCAACAGTTAGAAGTCATTGAACCTGGAGCTAGAAGCCCCGAGGAGCCAGAACTCTGAGGCAGGAAACAGCATGGCCAGGAGCTGGGTTGTCTCTTCCCTCCCTTCTCCAGGCCCAGCCAGGGTCCCTCCTTGAAGATGCTGCTGAGGTCACTTGTCTTTCAGAAGGGTAATCACGCCATGGGGAAGTGACGCTTTCATCTTAGTAGCTGCAATGAACCGTGATCTGTGAGATGCTCTGCCATTTTAAAGCACAAATGTCTGTATCCCAGCAGATAAACAGGCTGCACTGCTGGGAGTCTGAGCGCAACGCCTGCTGCCCGCCAGTCAGTGGCGCTGCGAGCAGGAAGCCAGGGAGGGGCCTAGCAGCCTGGAGGCAGCTGCCATGGGCTCCCAGAGCTGACTGTGGTCGCCCGCTACCATCAGTCACAGTCAGAGCTCTGCTGTTTTCTTGGCCTTAGACTCTCACTGAAGGCTTTTCATGAAAACCCCATCCCTAGGAATACATTTGGGGCACAACACATTGTCCTCCAGCTGCGGGGGGAGTGGCAGGCAGGTAGCAAGAAGAGTGCAGGCACTTTCTCCTGTTTCTCAGGAACCCAGGCTTGCCCAGCACTTCCCTCTGCCTCCTGCTCTCCTTCCTGCGCTCCTCCTGACCCACCCCACCCTGCTTTCTTCTTCTTTCCCTCCTGCCTCACTTGTAAAAAATGTACAAGTCCTTTCCTCCATACACCTGTTAATTCCAAATCCTTGTTTAAGACCATATTATGTTAAAAACCCTGGGAGAGAAACACACAGATAAGAAAAATCCAGTTGCTTAATAGTAAAAGATATTGGTAAGCAGTGTAATGTTCTCTCTTTCTGCATGAGTAAGTTCAAGAAAAGAGATCTGTCTACAGGCCAATAATAGCCTCCGAGGGGATAATTGCTTGAAGCCTGAGTAAGACGTTCCTTTGGAGATAAAAGGGCAGGCATGTGTGAACGGACAAATATAAAGACGGGGAAGAGGAAAAGGAAAAATCAGACCTATGGACGAGTCTTTCCAGCTTTCTTTTTTCTCCCCTTTACTATTTTCCTGAGTAATGACAGGGGGAAGACGCATCTGTTTCAATAGTATAATGCTATCTGCAATCTGAATCCCATATTACAAATTAAAATGGATTGTCACCTAGTATAGTGAAGCTCACAGTGATTCTGATAGCTCACCGTTACTCAGGTTATTTTCTGAAACTTCATAATGATTTTAGGACCAAATAGGGTTATATTAAGGGTTCAAATTTAATAACGAAAAGCAAGTTGTTTGGTTTTACTATGGCCCCGCTGCTAATTTCAATATTCCCATCCTCTCACCATCAGTGGTCCCATTTCTGTTGACCTATCTTGATTGTGGAGGTGCCCCTGGTGGGGGAGCCGGCTTTGAGCCTGTTCCTGAATGTTCAGATGGAGCAATTCAGTCATGGGCAGTAGAAGGACCACAGCCTCAGCTCACGGTAAGTGTCCATCTGTAAGAAACGGCCTACGGTCGTCACCTAAACTCAGCCCTGTGCTCATGAAACCAGATGTGGGAGGTCACTGCCAGTCTATGCTGTTCTCTGTTCTGGGCTAACGGGTGGGGAAAATGGAGAGAAATCAGAGGCGCCTCACAATTCGGTGGAAGTAACCAGGGGAGGCTTTCTGAATGAGGTTCCTGTTTAAATGGATTTTGAAAGGTTCCTCAGTAGTATTCATTCAGAAAATCTGAGCTAATTTGACAATTAACCCAATGTGTGACTATAGAGTCAAAAGTCAATACAAATGGGAAAATGCTGTTTCTTGTCTTTTAGGATTTGACCGCTTTCCCTGTACCACTGGATAATGCAAATGTGATTGAATGTATTGACAATTCAGGTAATATTTTATTTTTTTATTTTCAATAACACAAATGACTTAGAAGTCATTATGTTTTCTCTTAGTATACTTCACTATTTCTCAATTGTTTTCTTTGTCTTTAAAATGTTTCTATTATTTCTTCTTAAACATATGATTTGCAAATTAAATAAGGGAAAATCTACAGTAAATATTATTTTTAAGTGTTGAATTTTTTTACATCATTCTCAATCATTAGAAAGTACTTAAGAGATGACCTGATTAAGATGTCTGTAAATAAGAAAGAATAACTAAATCATAAACACAAGTTAATTTTTTTGGTTCAAAAGAGCAAATCTTATTTACCCCCAAAATACTAATTAGAATTAAAGTATGTTTCAGTTAAAATAAATCTGTGCTTATTTATTGAGATTAAATCTACTACCAAAATATACTGATTAGAGATAAAGTGCAATGCCATTAAAATATATCTGTGCTCATTTATTGAGACTAGAATTAACCCCCACAATTCATGAATGATTTAAATTCACTCTGACTTCAGCTGCTATCGTGACAAAATTTAATACTGCATCCAATCTTCATGTCACCGTCAACGTTGACCTAAAAAGCTTTGCCCCATTTATCAAAATGAAAGTGAATGTGTGAAACTCTATCAAAATCTTTTAAAGCTCTCACCTGAGGGTGTGTGCATGTGGTAGAGTTACTCCTTGCACGTGGGTAAAACTCTCAGTACGATTTAATTTACAGCAGAGGTCTAGACCAATTCATAGGCAGACACCAGGAACAATTAGATTTTCACAATAAGTAAATAACTACCACTCCCATAAAAACAGTTAACTTTTAAAAACTTCTTATGCCTTTGAAAAGAGTTGCATCAGCTTTCCTTTTTTCAAGGTAAGTAACTATTATTGATTCTCTTATTTTTCCCTCAGGCTTTTTCAAACCTGTAATCATGACTTTTCTACTTTGAACTCTTTAATATGCAAGAGTCACAGGATGTTTGTAACTTGTAGACTGGACTTTATTCAAGAACTGGACATGCCAATCTTTAAAACTATTTCTCTTCCTCATGTATTAACTTTTGTTAATGACACCTGCCTCCCCCCCACCGCAGAAGCAGAAAATCATCTTCTTATATCTCCGTATTCATTGATATCCAATCAGTTCTCAAGACTTGTCAAATCCTCCAGGATTTATTTACGCCTTTATTCTCTCATTAAGTCTCAAACTGTTACCCAAACCTTGAAGAGAGCACAGTGAGAGGCACCAAAGTAAGAGAAGTATGGAAAACACACCGACCCTAAAATCAAGACCTTTCCAATCCTCAAGCAGGGGACGCCTATCCCATGTCAACACGCGCCTGTCCATCGCACTCCCACGGTGCAGACCGTCGTTGTAGCTCACAGACCCAGAATACTGCCAGACTTCCAGTCACTCCTCACGTCCAAGTGCAGGTTCCAGAGCCCACGCAAACCTCTCCCCTCACCACAGCCATGGCTGCTTCTCTGAGAGCCGTCATTCAGGGCCTTCGCTGGAGGTTCTGTGCTTCTCGTATATTGGGGTGTTCTCATCCTATTTAACTTTTTGAATTTAGGATATTTCCCCCCAATTTTTGTTACTTTAAAATTAAAATATTATAGTAACTATGTATGGTGCCAGCTAGTACTTGCGAATTTCAAGGAAACACTGTAAAGTATATGATGGTTTAATCGATGTGTTGTAAACCTGAAACTAAACAAAATAATATTGAAGGTAAGCTGTAACTGAAAGAAATTTTTTTAATTTTTTATTTAATAATTTTTATTGCATTTTTTTATTACCATTTAGTCCCTTTATATCTCTTTCCCATCTGTAATCACCACACTGTTGTTCATGTCGATGAGCCCATGAAAATTAAAAATGAATAGGCAGATTTCCAGTCAAGATAGAGGCATCTGTAAACGAAGCTTGCCTCCTCGTACAACATCAAAATTACAACTAAATTATAGAATAACCATCGCTCTGAACCATCAGAAATAGAGTTTAATGGAAGTCTGACAACTATGGAATTAAAGAAACCACATCCATCCAGACTGGTAGGAGGGGTGGAGATGCAGAACAGACTGGACCCACACTCATGTGTGGTGGATAAAAATTTGGTAGGGATGCCTCAGGAGAAAGTAGTCCCAGCCATACACCAGGACCCCCAGACCGGGGTTCCAGTGCTGGGAGGATATGTCAACATTACTTCTGGCTGCAAAAACCAGAGGGGATTGAGTCAGTGGAAGAAAATCCTGGAGTTTTAATAGTTCCTCCTAATGAACCTACACACGGACTTACTCAGACTCACTCCCTCTGAGCTCCAGCACCACGGTAGCAGCTTGAAAGGTACCAGTGGCATACAGGGAGGAACTGAAGTGTCTGGCATCAAGGTGAGAGCTAAGGGACAGCTTTCTCCCAGAGAAAAAAGTAGGTAGAGACCACTGTCCTTTTTCTGAACACTATTCCCACAGAGCCACAGAGCCAGCAGCCAGGTGCCATATCTGATACTCCATTACCTGGCTACTACTGTTTGCCCCACCTTGGAACTCCCCTGAAGCTCTGCCCCACCCAACTTAGAGTTACCAGTTGCTTTTCCATATGAATGGTTCCTGTTTCACAACTTCCTAAATCCTTTCAAACAAGCAAAAGCAAGCATCAGTGAGTACTGCCCCCCACCCTTCTCCCACCCCACTCTCATACCTTTTGCTAAGTGACCTCAGGGCCAATATTAGAAGCAGTCATTCTAGATTTACAGCTTGGCTTCAAATAGGAATTTCCAAGCCCAGCAAAAGTAGCAGCCATCTCAGATTGCTTTGTAGCTCTAGAGGGTGGTCCAGGCAAAACACAGGCTGACCTTGGCCTATACAACCCAGAAAACCCCAGGGCCTGCTCACCCAGTGGACAGCTACAGATCACATTGGAGGACCACAACCCTGACCCTGCACAACTGATCCTCCATGGACGGCAGAGGTTGGTAGTCTGTGGTCACAGCCAGTCCTTGCAGCTGACTGGCTTGGATAAATCCTCCCATTGACCTGCCAACAGCAATCAAAGCTCAACTACAAGAGGAGGGTGTACTCAGCCTACACAAAAGATGCACCTCAAATACCCTGCTTGGATAATGGGGAGGCTGTGCCACTGGACCCTACAGAACACCTACTATATTAGGCCATGCTATGAGGACAGGGAGTCATAGCAGCTCTACTTAATATGTAAAACAAATACAGGAAGGTTGCCAAAGCGAGGAGACAAAGAAACATGGCCCAAATGAAAGGACAAGTCAAAATTCCAGAAAAAAAGCTTAGTGAAATGAAGATAAGCAATCAATCAGATGCAGAGTTCAAGAAACTATTTATAAGGATTCTCAAGGAACTTAATGAGGACCTCAGCAGCATAAAAAAGACCAGTTGGAAATGAAGGATACACTAATTGAAATAAAGGACAATTTACAGGAAAAAAACAGTAGAATGGATGGAGCTGAGAATTAGATCAATGACTTGGAACACAAGGAAGCAAAAAATAACCATGCAGAACAACAACAAGAAAAAATCCAAAAAAAGATGATAGGATAAACAACCACTGGGACATCTTTAAGAAGTCAAAAATTCGCATCATAGGGGTGCCAGAAGGAGAAGAGAAAGAATAAGAAATCAGAAATCTATCTGAAAAAATAGTGAAGGAAAACTTCCCTAATTTGGTGAAGGAAATAGACATTCAGGTCCAGGAAGTACAGAGAGTCCCAATTATGATAGATGTAAAGAGTCCCACTCCAAGACATGTCACTATTAAAAGGCCAAAGGTTAAAGATTAAAAGAGACTCTTAAAAGCAAGAGAAAAGAAGTTAGTTATTGGAAGGTTGCCAGATGGGAGGGGGTAGGGAGAGAATGGGTGAAGAGGTGAGGGGATTAAGAAGTATAAAAAGATAGTTACAGAATAGCCTTGAGGATGTACAATATAGGAAATGGAGTAGCCAAAGAACTTATATGTATGACCCATGGACATGAACATGAAATTGGGACAACTAATAGTATAAATAATAAAGTATACTTAAAAGTACAGTTAAAAACAAATAATAAGTAAATAAAATAATCTCCAAAGTTGTTACCACTATGTAGCTCCTCTCTCCTAGTCAATATATAGTTACCAATGAATAATTTAAAACAATAATTAAGAAATTAATTGATAATATTTTGAACTTTATATCACATTTTTCATTCCTGTATTTAGATTTTGCCTTCAGTTTTTTCCTTGGCTCACAAATGCATACTTAGATGAAAAAACCATACATTAAAGTAAGTCACTGATTTTCAGTCTATAACACACTACATGAAGTAAATTTAATTTGATTTACACTTTCAGGGGTTTACACAAATGAGTATGGCGGTAGAGAAATGCAAGATATGGGAGGAGAAGAAAGAACAACAGGATTTGAACTAACCGATGCAGTTAAAACATCAGGAGCACCTGACACATGTCAAGAATACTCTGGAACATTCAGAAGAAATTCTATGAGGGAGTGTCGAGAAGGAGGTCTGAATATGGACTTCATGGAAAGTTACTTCTGTCAGGTAAGGGCTCTAGCCCCCATGCCTTCCTGTCCATCCCGCACTGCTGTGCTCTAGGTTCCCACTATTTCCCAATGGGGCTTTAGCAGGCATCTCCTAGCTGGGCTTCCAGCCTCGAGTCTTTAAATGCCTGGAGATCCATAGTACTGCTAAATAATACAGCTAAAACTCTGACTGCAGCCTGTTACTCCCCCACTTAGAAACAGGCAATGACTCCCATCTATGTTTTGTCTATGGCATCAAGTCCAAGAAGACAAATAAGCCTATTTGCAAATTGGCCCCTGCCCTCACATCTCCAATTACTCCTTACTACTAATTCCACTTGCCAAGTGCCTTTGCCTTTGTCACACCAGTCTGTTGCCCTCCATGTCTTTGTTTACTCTGTGCCTATACTGGAATGCTTTTATCTGGTCATCTCTGTCCTAAGTCCCTACCCATCTTTCAAGACCCTGTTTCAAATATGACTGCTTCTGAAGTTTTATTGTTGTCCATTTCACTGAAAATAGAATTGGTGTTTCCTTACTTGTATTTCTATAGTACACGTTCTCCCCAGTTTACAATGGGGTCATATCCCCTTAAGCCCATGATAAGTTGAAAAGAGGTAAATTGAAAGTTCATTAATACACCTGACCTAACAAACATCCAAGCTTGGCCTAGCTGGTTTCTACTGAATGGACATCACTTTTACACTATCATAAATCAAATAATTGTTAAGTCATTCCATTGTACATCAGGGACCTTTTATTCTTTGTTTGTACATTTAATAGAACATACCTTTGCTAAAATCTGTTGGTTTATATGTTACTACACTTTTTGGTACCTCAAATACATGCTCTCTATATTGTGTTTCCAGTACCTAGCTCAGTTCCAGGCACATAATAAACATGCAATAAAAGTTGGTTCAAGAGCTATAGTACAATTCCAGAACATTCTAAGAACCAGTAAGAATTAATTTAGCCATCCGCAGGTAGAGACAGAATTGCCCGTGGTTACACGCCATGTGATATTTAAGCTTTAAGGAATTTACTGCCCTTGAAAAATTTATGTCCTTCTATATTCTGGCAAAATGCCTTCATGAGCTCTCCTAAGGGTTTAGATGGTGGGTGATATTTTGAAATAAGATACTAGTATAAGCCTTTCAAATCTGAGTAGATAATAACGAGGTCTGTTGCTGAAATCGATAGGAATGCTTTCTATCCAGACCCCAACAAATTAATATATGTTAATTCATATGTTCATGAAAAGTACAATTCTGCCTCCCAGCTTTTGCACTTACAGCTCCTTCTGCCCACAACATTCTATCTGCTGTACTCACAACCATTTGATTCAAATTTCTGATCAAACATCACTTTTGGAAATGCCATCCTTGGCCATTCTACCTGAAAGATCAAATCCCATCACTTTCTATCCCTGTACCTTGTACTCACCTCCTGACAAATAAGTTTGTGTGTTGTCTGTCTCATACTACTAAATGTAAGCCCTACTAGAAAAGCTTTTATCTAGTTTTGTTTGTCACTTTTTTGCTAATTTCCTAATAGAGTGTATTGCAAAAGGTATGGACTCAAAACGTATTTGTGAATGAATGGCTCAGTGAGTTGGTTTTCTAACAAATGCATTTCTGATTCTTCACCTGAAAGCTTGCAGTCCATTATCATAAGCACTAAAGATAAACTAAAAGTATGCATGTCTGTGGGCTTTCATTTTGAATTGAAGGAGATTCTAGTTTTAAAATTTGTCCTTGGTCACCTTCAGTTTTCAATCCAAAAGTAGCATAGACCCAGAGTTAAATTTTTCTGTTGATTTGCTGAAAGAGCCACATGAAATAACTTTCACAGATTCACCATAATAACTAAATGAATAAAGGAAAGCACAATCCTGAAAAACTCAAATCAGCTATCTTTTCTAAATAAACCAAAAAAAAAAATACACAATTTGGTGAACTTCAAAATAAGCATTTTTAAGTACCTCCTTCTAACTTGCTTATAAAATATTTCATGTGATATTTTTTGTGTTTTTGTGTCCAAAGTACACTCTTATAAAGTCTATCTAAATATTTTTTTAAAATTCAAAATGTATATTGGAATTACAGTTAAAATAATTTCCAAGAAAATTCTTTCACCCTGTTGTATGGTTTTTAGAGCATTTTTATTAAATGTTAGGATTTTGTTTTTTATATTCTTCTTTGGTAATGCCCTGTAAAAAAAAATTAACTTAAGGACTTCTATTATTATTAAGTATGTACTCATGATTTCATTTCCTCTTTCCTCTACCAATTTAGAAAGCATATGCTTACGCAGATGAAGAAGAAGGACGACCATCCAATGACTGTTTGCTCATATATGATATTGAAGGTGTAGGTTCCCCTGCTGGCTCTGTGGGTTGTTGTAGCTTCATTGGAGAAGACTTTGATGACAGCTTCTTGGATACACTGGGGCCTAAATTTAAGAAGTTGGCAGATATCAGCCTGGGGAAAAGTGTTGAACCATATCCAGACCTTGATCCCTCATGGCCACCTGAGAGCACTGACCCGATTTACCCTCAGCAGGAAACAGAGCCCCTTGCTAGTGGACCCCCGCCCATCTCCCCACGTTACGGCACTACCACAGTCATTTCTGAGAGCACCTACCCCTCGGGACCTGGTGTACAGCATCCTATGCCTATTCCTGATCCTCTGGGCTATGGTAATGTCACTGTGACCGAGTCTTATGCCACCTCTGGCACTCTGAAGCCCTCTGTCCACTTTCATGATAATCGACATGCCTCTAACGTGGTGGTGACAGAGAGGGTGGTCGGCCCAATCTCTGGCGCCAATTTGCATGGAATGTTAGAGATGCCTGACTTGAGAGATGGGTCCAACGTTATAGTGACAGAAAGAGTAATTGCACCAAGTTCAGGTCTCCCCACCACTTTGACCATCCCTGATCCTAGAGAGTCTTCAAATGTGGTAGTGACAGAGAGAGTAATCCGACCCACTTCTGGCATGATGGGCAGTTTGGGTATGCACCCCGACCTGTCGAACGCCCACAATGTGATTGTGACCGAGAGGGTTGTCTCTGGCTCTGGCGTAACTGGAATTAGTGGCCCAGCTGGGATCATTGGAGGCAGTGGCACAGTCGGCAGTGGCTTCGTTGGCAGTGAAGCTGGAATCAGTGCCGGTGGTGCCGGGCTGAGCAGTCTGGGAGGAGGCGGGGGCCTGAGTAGCAGCATGTTGGGCACAGTCAGCAGTGGCCACATGAGGAGCTCCTCTGACCATCACTTTAGCCAGACCCTTGGATCTGCCTCTCCTACTACAGCCCGAAGTCGAATCACAAAGTACAGTACAGTACAGTATACTAAGTAGCCAGGATCCCAGCACAGTTTTCCTCAGTAATTGTGATTTAGGTTCAGTTCCCACCACCAAAAGCTAACAATGTCATTTATGATGCACAACTAGGTGCTAAGGTAATTGTGGAGCAAGAAGAAACCACAATGAGAAAAATAGATGGAAACAGTGCTGTTGAGCAAGAGCTCTCCTTGGCATTTGTAAACTTTTTTTTATATTAATACTACTGGAATCGTGACAGGGAACTAAAACTTTAGACGTCATGTTCTTTGCTTCTGTATGGTTTGTAGTGCATCTCTAGCATGTGGAAGAAATAAAACTCAGTTATGTAAAAACATGGGCTTTTCGATAGCAATTGACACAATTCTCTTGCTCTTTTTACATTTGCTATGTAGCTCAGGCAACATTTAAAAAGATCTAAACATGTCATATGTATTCATGTATGTGGGATGAATTTGAAATTTGTGGCAAATGCCCTGCCAATTTCACAGATAATATAAATAAAAAATCCAACCACATATCCAGACCATGGTTAACCACTAAAGAAAAAAGAATTTGGTTACATAGCGAAATCCACCAGCCAACAAGTACGCCTACTTAGTAATTGCACTAGATAAAATAAACCTCAAATAAGAAGTTCTTCTTGGGGAGCAGGGGGTGGAATTCTGTAAGAGTGGCAACAGTGTTAGATCCATTTTAGGTAAACTGTCAATGTCTGGGCCTGAATCTTGAGGTGGGGCTGCAGCTAAAACTTTTATGGAGTCAAGACTTGTCTGCTTCTAGTTTGTGTTCAGTGAGATGCAATCGTAATTGATATTGCCTACTGGTAAAGTTGCAGGATATCACACTCCTTTTCCCTTTTCACTGTGGCTCTGATTTAGTAAAGGGAACACCTGCCAGTTGTACCTTTTACATTGAAGCAGGTAACAACCGACGTGGTCACCCTCACCAGTGATAGACAACCTTGCAAGGAAGCAGAAGGGAACTGCACTGTACTTTCAGACTGTGTTTTTAGTGTTACTCATTTATATTCAGCTTCATTATTTCACATCTCCTAAGTTAAAATGGTTTACTTAAGCTGAGATGTATGGTTAAGCTTTGGGGAAATTTTTAAAACAGGATCTAAAATATAAGTTTTTACCACATGTTAAATGTTTAATGGGGAAACAGAATTGTTCAGTAAATAATATAGTACTATTAGTTCAAATTGAGTTTAGTACTTTTTTTAAAACACCCTCTGCTGCTATTTTGAAAGGATCAATTAGGAACTTATAACAGAGTTAAACTGTGTTAGCACAAATGAAATTATACTAGAGGCCCCTATTTCCTTATTCTGTCCCACTCCCAAGAATTTTCTCACTAGAATACATTTTCCATTCTTAATTTGACTTGTCAATACATTCTTGGCTTATATGCTCCAATTTATGGAATCCAAATTATATCTTATGCTATATTTTTCTAGCTTCAAAATTTAGTAATATACTATTTATAATATGTCGTTTCTGCATGTTTGCTCTTTAGTGTTGCCTGAGTAAATGTCTGTAAATAGAATTCAAGCATTCTTAGCCAGAGGTAAGTTTACCATTGCATGGTAGAGGAATGTCTTTCTCTTTTCAAAACTCAATATTATTATGAATTGACTAAAATAAAACTGGTATGACAAAATCTCCTAAGGATTATTACTCCCAGTTACTCAAATTTCCCAGAGTCCTACAAGATCAAAGAATATTCAACTTCCAACACATGTCAAAGAGGGCTGGGGAATGAATTATTTTACCTAGAGCTATTTTGTTCTATGTTACTGCAGATGATGTCAATATTTTCAAAGCCACAGAATACGTCTTATTTTAACTCTGTAGACTATGTAAAATTGTAATGTTCTGTAGAATGCAAAGTGCAGAGGTGTAAATAAAGTCATTCACTGGGAATCTTTCTTTTACTTCTTTCTCCCATTTGAGGCTTCCATTAGTGATGGGTACTTTTTCAAGAAATAAAGTCAAAGAGTATTGAAATATACTTTAGTATTATTATGTCCCAGAGTTTGGCAAAATAACATCATTACTAATTAAATATTACTTAATTAGTTAAAGGGAGTCTTTTCTGACCACAAGTATCCTATTTATTACTTTGATATGATATATCATCAAAAGTATTCTTGAGATTCCTGATATCTTTCAGATATGCTTTTTAGGTTGTCTATCCATTGCCAGAATGACCACCTTTAATAATTGTGATATTAAGATCCATTAGTTACATAAAACAATGGAACATGCAGAGAAAAAAATAGCAGTATTATTCATCAATTTTTCTAGGAAGATAATTTCAGTTAAAATTGTTTTTTGTTTTGGGTTTTTTTTTGTTTTGTTTTTAGGATTACAAATCGATATTCTAACATTTTATTCCTATTTTTTTAAATTACCTTTTAAGACATCGACCATTCTAACAGTTATTTGAAGGCATATTATTTTTCAATGAACAGCTTTTTCGGAAAATTTAATTCTTGCCTTTAGATGCTTTACTCTAATTCACAGGCCTTAGGTTTTTCCATACACCTAATAAAAGAAGTACAAATTATTTTATATGTGAATAGTTATCATTCAAATCCACGTTGCAAATGGAATTTCTGATCACTTTTCTCAACAAAAGAGAAGACATAATTTAAACGTTATATACACATAGTTCAAAGCAGTGTTTAATGTTTAGAAAGCATCTGACTTCTAAAGAGGCAGTTGGGGGCAAAAGTTAATGCATTATTAATACTTACGTTACTATGTAATATCAAACAAAATACCATCTTGTGCTAAGTTTATACTGAATTCCAGATATATCCACTACATGTTATTACCTCTATTTATGTTGCCTGATCTAACTGAATTTGCATTGAAAAACTAACAAAATGAAAGTATATATTTAGGGTTATGTATAGGTCTTCATCAGAACATCTATCTTATTTTCATGTGCAAAGATTTTAGCTTCGTAATTTTCATTCAATGTAATGTTCTGACAAAATTTTAATTATATATCTCCAAAAATTAACATATTCTCTTTCACTGGATATTTTTAATTATATACACAAATCATTTCTAAATTTATATCAACTTATGTAATCTGGGATTTGACATATATAATACACTTGGACTTTAGTAGGAGTTTAAAGTAAGAAATGTTATAATTATTGGCTAAAACGGCCATGGCTATTTATTTAGAAAAGACATTTAAAGCCCGAAACAAAATTTTAAAAGTATTTCAACATTTCCCATGCCTATTTAATAAATTCCAACTTTTTTTCAGACTTTCAGTATTGTTAAGACCTGCTTCACATTGCCCTGAAATATACCAGTCCACACAGATTACTAGTAGCTACATGATAGAATCTGTCTTCCGGTTCTAGATTATTCAGTTTATGTTAGGACAAAAATCTGAATGAATCAACCTGTTATCCATCAAATAATTTTAAAACAGCAATCTATTTTTTGCATACAGTCCTGCCATTTAGTTATGTTAGAATTACTAAACTCTTCATTCCCAAGCTGTGCTTAGTCTAATGTACCTTTCTTTTGCTACTTTACAAGTACTTTTAAACTCTAATAACCATCTTTCATAATGTTTCAGACAATGGGCTTTCCTTCAAGTTTCAAAATAAATGTTCATGTATTATTTGGGTGCTATTTCTTGCTTGGTCATCTGTTGGCTGGTTTAAGTTGGTTCGTAATTCCCAAAGAGTTAGGTTTACAGCAAAAAAATTATTAATATTGCTTTTATTATTTTTTGAATTATAAAGGGGGCTGGATAATAGACTATAATGAATAATTAAAGGTTATCAAATCTAGTTATTATTTTCAGCCCATATCAAAGAACGTTTTTTTAAAATATTCATTCACACTGTTAAAATTTATTTTCACTTTATATCTCCAATTTTTGTTCCTGTTCACTGGGGAGCCTACTCTCCAGAGTGCAGCTTAGTGACGTCAGAGCATGGCCATGGGCAGCCCCGCACAGAGGAGTTAAGGATACATATTAATAATTGTGTTTTTCACTTTTATCTGATACCTTTAACATCTTTACGCTTTTACCTTTCTCGCTTTGCTATTCTAATTTATTTATTTTTGCTTGCATAAGCATTTTATTTCTTTAAAATGATACCCTTTCATCTTTATTGGGTGACTCTCCTCTTTGCTCTCTAATGCTACTTTTTGGACTATTATCACCTGTCTGGTTTCAGGGACTGTAGCCCCACTGACAGGCAAGAGGTCCCCAAGGCCGGATATAATCAAGGAGGCCTAGGGAAAACAGGCCACTGAGGAGATGAAACCTGTCTCCCTGGCAGGGGTGCAGCCCCTGCCCCCCTCGCATCCCCTTCCTTGACCCTGTGATGGTTGGAGATCCATGATGGGTAAATTTTTCTCATGCAGAGAAAACGAGTTAAGACAGACATCAGCTGGTGTGGGCAGGATACATAGGCACGGGGGACATGGAGAAAGGGCAAAAAGGCCCGCACCCCTCGGCTCAGCTTGGAGATGGCCAGAGTCTTTATTCTATCTGAAAGAAGTCTCCTTGTCTCTTGCTGGCTCAGGCTTGAAACAATATTAAAGGCAGGTACAGCCCTTAACTGGATTGGGCGGTTCCCAGGGACAATCAGGCCTAGAAGTAAGTTCCTCTAAGCATGAGTTGTTCTTCCCTCAAAAGCTATGATAACAGGTTCATACTGGGAAGGAAATTTACATTATTCATAGATCCTGACCTGAGGCAGGTCTCTTGGGTTCCTTCAATTGTTACCCATGATCTCTATTTGTTTTCTGTAAACATAGCCTTTTGGCATTGATTGATGACTTTTGCTGTATACCTCTGCACTTGTGGTTCTCAATAAAAGCCTTTGGACACTGGGGTTCAGGGCCTTCTTCCCTAGAGGGAAGAAACATGTCCCCTCTCCTGGCAAACAGAGAAGTGTTTGCGACAACTTGTGTTTATTCCCCCATCCATGACAACCCCGGGACGGGTTCTGTGGGATTCAGAGCCCCTATCCC